GGAGACACAGAGACACACACAGTGAGACACAGTGAGACACACAGTGAGACACACAGTGAGACACACACAGTGAGACACAGAGACACAGAGACACGGGGACAAGGAACAGGAGGCAGACAACACCAGCTTCACACCCTCCCTGACACTTGGAGACAGCCTGGAGACACAGAGACACACACAGAGACACACAGTGAGACACACAGTGAGACACACAGTGAGACGCAGAGACACACACAGAGACACACAGTGAGACACAGAGACACAGAGACACACAGAGACACACACAGAGACACACACAGAGACACACACAGAGACACAGAGACACACACAGAGACACACACAGTGAGACACACACAGAGACACACACAGAGACACACAGTGAGACACAGAGACACAGAGACACGGGGACAAGGAACAGGAGGCAGACAACACCAGCTTCACACCCCCCCTGACACTTGGAGACAGCCTGGAGACAGAGACACAGAGACACACACAGTGAGACACAGAGACACAGAGACACAGATACACGGGGACAAGGAACAGGAGGCAGACAACACCAGCTTCACACCCCCCCTGACACTTGGAGACAGCCTGGAGACACAGAGACACACAGTGAGACACAGAGACACAGAGACACACACAGGGACACAGAGACACACACAGAGACACAGAGACACACAATGAGACACAGAGACACACACAGTGAGACACACACAGAGACACAGTGAGACACAGAGACACACACAGAGACACATACAGAGACACACAGTGAGACACAGAGACACAGAGACACACAGAGTGAGACACAGAGACACAGAGACACGGGGACAAGGAACAGGAGGCAGACAACACCAGCTTCACACCCCCCCTGACACTTGGAGACAGCCTGGAGACACAGAGACACACAGTGAGACACAGAGACACACACAGGGACACAGAGACACACACAGAGACACAGAGACACACAATGAGACACAGAGACACACACAGTGAGACACACACAGAGACACAGTGAGACACAGAGACACACACAGAGACACATACAGAGACACACAGTGAGACACAGAGACACAGAGACACACAGAGTGAGACACAGAGACACAGAGACACGGGGACAAGGAACAGGAGGCAGACAACACCAGCTTCACACCCCCCCTGACACTTGGAGACAGCCTGGAGACACAGAGACACAGAGACACAGAGACACAGAGACACAGAGACACACAGTGAGACACAGAGACACACACAGAGACACAGACACACACAGAGACACACACAGTGAGACACACACAGAGACACACAGTGAGACACAGAGACACGGGGACAAGGAACAGGAGGCAGACAACACCAGCTTCACACCCCCCCTGACACTTGGAGACAGCCTGGAGACACAGAGACACACACAGAGACACAGAGACACACACAGAGACACACACAGTGAGACACACACAGAGACACACACAGTGAGACACAGAGACACACAGTGAGACACAGAGACACAGAGACACACAGAGTGAGACACAGAGACACAGAGACACAGAGACACGGGGACAAGGAACAGGAGGCAGACAACACCAGCTTCACACCCCCCCTGACACTTGGAGACAGCCTGGAGACACAGAGACACAGAGACACACAGAGTGAGACACAGAGACACAGAGACACACAGAGTGAGACACACACAGTGAGACACAGAGACACACACAGAGACACACAGTGAAACACACAGTGAGACACAGAGACACACACAGAGACACAGTGAGACACAGAGACACACACAGTGAGACACAGAGACACACACAGAGACACACACAGAGACACACAGTGAGACACAGAGACACAGAGACACGGGGACAAGGAACAGGAGGCAGACAACACCAGCTTCACACCCCCCCTGACACTTGGAGACAGCCTGGAGACACAGAGACACACACAGAGACACACACAGTGAGACACAGAGACACAGAGACACACACAGTGAGACACAGAGACACACACAGTGAGACACAGAGACACACACAGTGAGACACAGAGACACACAGTGAGACACAGAGACACACACAGTGAGACACAGAGACACAGAGACACACACAGAGACACGGGGACAAGGAACAGGAGACAGACAACACCAGCTTCACACCCCCCCTGACACTTGGAGACAGCCTGGAGACACAGAGACACACACAGAGACACACAGTGAGACACACAGTGAGACACACAGTGAGACGCAGAGACACACACAGAGACACACAGTGAGACACAGAGACACAGAGACACGGGGACAAGGAACAGGAGACAGACAACACCAGCTTCACACCCCCCCTGACATTTGGAGACAGCCTGGAGACACAGAGACACAGAGACACACAGAGTGAGACACAGAGACACAGAGACACAGAGACACGGGGACGAGGAACAGGAGGCAGACAACACCAGCTTCACACCCTCCCTGACACTTGGAGACAGCCTGGAGACACAGAGACACACAGTGAGACACAGAGACACAGAGACACACACAGGGACACAGAGACACACACAGAGACACACACAGTGAGACACACACAGAGACACACACAATGAGACACAGAGACACACACAGTGAGACACAGAGACACACACAGAGACACATACAGAGACACACAGTGAAACACACAGTGAGACACAGAGACACACACAGAGACACAGTGAGACACAGAGACACACACAGTGAGACACAGACACACACACACACACAGAGACACACAGAGGGAGACACAGAGACACAGAGACACGGGGACAAGGAACAGGAGGCAGACAACACCAGCAGCACACCCTCCCTGACACTTGGAGACAGCCTGGAGACACAGACACACAGTGAGACACAGAGACACAGACACACACAGAGACACACACAGTGAGACACAGAGACACAGAGACACACACAGAGACACAGAGACACACACAGAGACACACACAGAGACACACAGAGTGAGACACAGAGTGAGACACAGAGACACACACAGAGACACACACAGTGAGACACACACAGAGACACACACAGAGACACACACAGAGACACACACAGAGACACACAGTGAGACACAGAGACACGGGGACAAGGAACAGGAGGCAGACAACACCAGCAGCACACCCTCCCTGACACTTGGAGACAGCCTGGAGACACAGACACACACAGTGAGACACAGAGACACACACAGTGAGACACAGAGACACACACAGTGAGACACAGAGACACAGAGACACACAGTGAGACACAGACACACACAGAGATACACACAGAGACACACACAGTGAGACACAGAGACACACAGAGACACACACAGTGAGACACACAGTGAAACACACAGTGAGACACAGAGACACACACAGAGACACAGACACACACAGAGACATACACAGAGAGACACACAGAGACACAGAGACACACACAGAGACACACACAGTGAGACACACAGTGAAACACACAGTGAGACACAGAGACACACACAGTAAGACACACAGTGAGACACAGAGACACACACAGTGAGACACAGAGACACACACAGAGACACACACACAGACACACAGTGAGACACAGAGACACAGAGACACGGGGACAAGGAACAGGAGACAGACAACACCAGCAGCACACCCTCCCTGACACTTGGAGACAGCCTGGAGACACAGAGACACACACAGAGACACACACAGAGACACAGAGACACACACAGAGACACACAATGAGACACACAGAGTGAGACACAGAGACACACACAGTGAGACACACACAGAGACACACACAGAGACACACACAGAGACACATAGACACACAGTGAGACACAGAGACACAGAGACACACACAGAGACACAGACACACACAGAGACACACACAGTGAGACACACACAGAGACACACAGTGAGACACAGAGACACAGAGACAAAGAGACACAGAGACACACAGTGAGACACACAGAGACACACAGAGACACACAGAGAGACACAGAGACACACAGTGAGACACAGAGACACACAGAGACACAGAGACACACACAGAGACACACACAGTGAGACACAGAGACACACAGTGAGACACAGAGACACACACAGAGACACAGAGACACACAGTGAGACACAGAGACACACACAGTGAGACACAGAGACAAGGAACAGGAGGCAGACAACACCAGCTGCACACCCTCCCTGACACTTGGAGACAGCCTGGAGACACAGAGACACAGAGACACACACAGAGACACAGAGACACACAGATACACACAGAGACACACACAGTGAGACACAGAGACACACACAGAGACACAGTGAGACACAGAGACACACACAGAGACACAGACACACACAGAGACACACACAGTGAGACACACAGACACACACAGTGAGACACACACAGTGAGACACACACAGTGAGACACACACAGTGAGACACACAGAGACACACAGTGAGACACACAGAGACACACACAGTGAGACACACACACACAGACAACAACCGCCATTCGCCACTAAGTGGCGGTGACGTCACCACGACGCTTGTGCCAGGCTATGTGCACCCTGAGGCCACGTGAAGTGTCGAACGCCCGCTGGCAGGAGGTCACGGGGCAGACCCAGCAGGTGCCACGGGTCGACTGACTGAGATGACTGGCTGATGCACCACCTGTGCCCCCTACTGTGCCAACCTGCTGTGCTTTAGCCACCCGGAGCTCCGCTCGTTGTTGTGAGCGTCGCTCCTCCGCCCTCCGTTGTTGTTGGAGGGCGACTGCCTCCAACTGCCCAGTAGCATCCTTCACGAGCCTCCTCCACAGAGGCCGATCTTGACACCGCTGGTACCAGTCATCGCCAAGTCCACTCAGCTCCACGTCCTCCTGTACCACATCACTCCATCTCTTCTCTTGCCCGTGCCGCGCCCGTTTAGCCCCCTCAATCCGGCCGAACAAAAGCTGTTTCGGCATGCGGTGGCTGGGCATGCGGGCTACATGACCCAACCAATGCAGCCTTGCCTGCCGGAGGAGCTCACCGATGGGACCTTGCCCAGATCTTTCAAGGATTTGTGAACTCCTCACACAATCCAGCCTGGTTAAACCCAAGATGGATCGTAGGCAGGCCAGCCTAAATGTTTCTAACCGGCGAAGATGTTCCATTAGGGGGTTCCACGTTTCACAAGCGTAGAGAAGGGAGGGAATGACCGTGGCCGAGAAGACCTGAAGCTTAGTGCGGAGCGACAGACCAGGTAGCTTCCACACAGCGTTACGCAACCGATGAAAAGATATTGCCGCTCGACTGATTCGGAGTGAGACCTCTGCTGTTAAACTGGAGCTGGTCATAAGCACACTGCCCAGGTATGGGAAACTCTCCACTCTCTCCACAACTCCCCCATCACCGATTGGGAGTTGTGGGGGTGGAGTGTCCAATGGTACAAAATACCCAGGCAGGTACTTAGTTTTGGTGGGGCTGATGGTAAGGCCCCATTTCTTAGTGGCACGCTCCAGTCTCAGCAGCAGCATCTCCAACTCCTCCTCTGAATGAGCAGCTATTACCAAATCATCGGCATACATAACGTGGTTGAGCAATAGGGAGCCATCCCTTGACCGCACCCGGGCATCGATCAGCCTCCCATTATATCTGTATCAAATGGAGATTCCCCCGGTACAGCTATTGAAGGCTTCACGAACTACGTGGTCAAAATAGATGTTAAATAATGTGGGACCCAGAGGACATCCCTGTCGCACCCCAAGGTGTACAGGGAATGGCTCTGACTCCCGGCCACGTAGTTTTACCCGGGCCCGCTCACCATCATGAAGGTCCTTAATGATCGTGAGCAGAGGGTCAGGGACTCCAAAAGCACGAAGAACAACCCAGAGCCCAGGCCTACTGATGGTATCATAGGCCTTGACCAGGTCAATAAAGCAGAGATGTAGGTCTTGTTGGAATTCCCTACACCTCTGCTGTAGCAGACGGATAGAAAATATGGCATCTGTGCAGGACCGCCCTTTCCTGAAACCGCATTGGGGCTCCGCAAGCCTCTCCTCAGCGTGCCTGGCAAGGTGATGTTGAATAATCCTTGCCAGAACCTTTCCCGGCACACTGAGGAGTGAGATGCCCCTGTAGTTGTTACAGTCTGTGCGGTCCCCCTTCTTAAAGAGGGGGACCACCAGGGCATCCTTCCAATCCTGCGGAACCCGTCCAGTGGTCCAGACTGTTGTTATGATGTCATATAGGGCAGTCTGTGCACAAACGCCACCCTCCCTCAGCATTTCGCTTGGGAGATCATCTCCGCCCGCTGCCTTTCCTGGTCTCAGACTCCTGATCGCCTTCAGTACTTCCTCAACAGATGGCACCTCAGCCAGCCACTCACAGGGTGTGACTTCTTCCAATATTTGAGGCACCGCAGCCTCAGCAGGGTCATCCTCACTTTGTGCCACGATGTTTTCCTGGCTGAGGGATTTTCCCTCCCCCAGGACCTCACAGAAATGCTCAGCAAATCTGCAAACCTGTTCCTGGGGGTCGGAGATTGGATCACCGTTTTTTCCCCTAATGATGGTAATAGGTGTGGTGCTGCAGGTTACTTTTTTGATGGAGTTAAATAGAGATTTGTGATCACGGGCCACTGAGGCAGACGCCATCTCCTCAGCAACCCACGACCACCACCCATCCTTGCAGCGCCTCACGGCTCTCCGAACCTCCGAGCGAAGGCTGCGGTAAGCCTCCTCATTCTCTGACGTGGGATTCTGTAGCCGATGACAGTGGGCCTATCGCTTTTTCTCAACCATCCTGAACACCTCCTCTGTCAGCCAGGGTGTCTGGGGAGGTCTGGACCGCGGACCCAAAGCAGCCAATGCAGCTGCATGAGTGACAGTCCTAAACCTCGCCCATTTACCCTCGACATCAGGAGGAGTGGGGGACCATGCCAACCCCAGCCGCAAGCGATGATGAAATTCTCGCTTGCAACTTTCATCAGATAACTGAGACCAGGCCACTTTAGGTCGGAATGGGGTCCTGGGTGTACACCCACCACCGGAGTGGAAGAATGGCAGGCGCATCTTACAGATGACTAGTCGATGGTCAGAGGGCAGATCAGCTCCACGGTAGGTCCTGGTGTCAAGGACATGGGCTCGCATCCGCTGGTCCGTCACTACGTAGTCCAGCAGATGTTCTTGCTTGGACCCGGCGTGCATCCACGATGTTGTGTGGATGCGCCGATGCCGGAACAGCGTGTTGGTAATTACAAGCCCATGGGCTGCACAAAAATCTAGCAGCCTCCTACCATTGTTATTGAGCTGATAAGGCCCATGCCCTCCACTCTGACTCATCGGCTTTGCCTGCATCCCTCCACGGATGTTCGTCTTCGGTGGGGGCATAAGTAACCACGACCACCATTCCTCGCCTCCGGTTGATGGGAAGGCGAGCCCAAAGTAGCCCGGGGCTTACAGCTTCCCACACCTCACCGCCAAGCTCCCATGCCCCCTTCATTCTTTTGTTCAGAAGAAGAGCCACACCCTGTTGTTTGGCAGTCTGCTGCCCCGAGTAGAGGACTGTCCACCCCTCATGGTGGCAGGAGCCAGAGACGGTCCACCGGACCTCCTGAATGCCACAGAGATCCAGGCGGTACCGGTCCAGCTCCCGACAGAGGAGTGGCAGCCTCTCCTCCGCAGTGAGCGTTCGTACAGAGACACACACACATAGTGAGACACAGAGACACACAGAGATACACACAGTGAGACACACACAGTGAGACACACACAGTGAGACACACAGTGAGACACACACAGAGACATACACAATGAGACACACACACAGTGAGACACACACACAGTGAGACACACACACAGTGAGACACACACAGTGAGACACACACACAGTGAGACACACACAGTGAGACACAAAGTGAGACACACACACAGTGAGACACACACACAGTGAGACACACACAGAGAGACACACACAGTGAGACACACACACAGTGAGACACACACACAGTGAGACACACACAGTGAGACACACACACAGTGAGACACACACAGTGAGACACAAAGTGAGACACACACACAGTGAGACACACACACAGTGAGACACACACAGAGAGACACACACAGTGAGACAGGCAGCATGGTGAGTGGCGTGGTGGTGAGTAGCGTGGTGGTGGTGGTGAGTGGCGTGGTGGTGGTGAGCGTGGTGGTGGTGGTGGTGGTGAGCGTGGTGGTAGTGAGTAGCGTGGTGGTAGTGAGTAGCATGGTGGTAGTGAGTAGCGTGGTGGTGGTGGTGAGCGTGGTGGTGGTGGTGAGTGGTGGTGAGCGTGGTGGTGGTGGTGGTGGTGAGCGTGGTGGTAGTGAGTAGCGTGGTGGTAGTGAGTAGCATGGTGGTGGTGGTGAGCGTGGTGGTGGTGGTGGTGGTGAGCGTGGTGGTGGTGGTGGTGGTGGTGAGCGTGGTGGTAGTGAGTAGCGTGGTGGTGGTGGTGAGCGTGGTGGTGGTGGTGAGCGTGGTGGTGGTGGTGAGCGTGGTGGTGGTGGTGGTGGTGAGCGTGGTGGTGGTGGTGGTGGTGAGCGTGGTGGTAGTGAGTAGCGTGGTGGTAGTGAGTAGCGTGGTGGTAGTGAGTAGCGTGGTGGTGGTGGTGAGCGTGGTGGTGGTGGTGAGCGTGGTGGTGGTGGTGAGTGGTGGTGAGCGTGGTGGTGGTGAGCGTGGTGGTGGTGGTGAGTGGTGGTGAGCGTGGTGGTGGTGGTGAGTGGTGGTGAGCGTGGTGGTGGTGAGCGTGGTGGTGGTGGTGGTGAGCGTGGTGGTGGTGGTGGTGAGCGTGGTGGTGGTGGTGGTGAGTGGTGGTGAGCGTGGTGGTGGTGAGCGTGGTGGTGGTGGTGGTGAGCGTGGTGGTGGTGGTGGTGAGCGTGGTGGTGGTGGTGGTGGTGAGCGTGGTGGTGAGTGGTGGTGAGTGGTGGTGAGCGTGGTGGTGGTGAGCGTGGTGGTGGTGGTGGTGGTGGTGGTGAGTGGTGGTGAGCGTGGTGGTGAGTGGTGAGCGTGGTGGTGGTGGTGGTGAGTGGTGGTGAGTGGTGGTGAGCGTGGTGGTGGTGAGGTCCCCTCGGGCTGCACGGCGCTCACCTCCTGCTGGTGGTCGTGGTGAGCAGCGTCGTCGTTGTCGTGGTGGTGGTGAGCGTGGTGGTGGTGGTGAGGAGCGTGGTGGTGGTGGTGGTGAGGAGCGTGGTGGTGGTGGTGAGGTAGACAGATGCAGGTCCCCTGGGGCTGCACGGCGCTCACCATGGCCGGCAGGAAGAGGAGTCGCCCCGCCGTGGTGAGCACCGCAGCATCACACCGGCTGCCGACATCACACCACGGTGGGACTACACAGAGAGAGAGAGCGTCACACACAGTGACACACACAGTGACACACACAGTGACACACACAGTGACACACACAGTGACACACACACAGTGACACACACACACACAGCGTCACACACAGCGTCACACACAGTGACAGGAAGAGGAGTCGCCCCGCCGTGGTGAGCACCGCAGCATCACACCGGCTGCCGACATCACACCACGGTGGGACTACACAGAGAGAGAGTCACACACACAGAGAGAGCGTCACACACAGTGACACACACAGCATCACACACAGTGACACACACAGTGACACACACACAGTGACACACACACAGTGACACACACACACAGAGCGTCACACACACAGTGACACACACAGAGCGTCACACACACAGTGACACACACACACAGAGCGTCACACACACAGTGACAGGAAGAGGAGTCGCCCCGCCGTGGTGAGCACAGCAGCATCACACCGGCTGCCGACATCACACCACGGTGGGACTACACAGAGCGTCACACACACACACACAGAGAGAGCGTCACACACACAGCGTCACACACACAGTGACACACACACAGCGTCTCACACACACAGTGACACACACACAGTGACACACACACAGTGACACACACACACAGTGACACACACACACAGTGACACACACACACAGTGACACACACAGCATCACACACACACACACAGAGCGTCACACACACAGTGACAGGAAGAGGAGTCGCCCCGCCGTGGTGAGCACAGCAGCATCACAGCGGCTGCCGACATCACACCACGGTGGGACTACACAGAGCGTCACACACACAGAGAGAGCGTCACACACACAGCGTCACACACACACACAGTAACACACACAGTGACACACACACAGTCACACAGAGTATCACACACACAGTGACAGGAAGAGGAGTCGCCCCGCCGTGGTGAGCACCGCAGCATCACACCGGCTGCCGACATCACACCACGGTGGGACTACACAGAGAGAGAGAGCGTCACACACAGTGACACACACAGCGTCTCACACACAGTGACACACACAGTGACACACACAGTGACACACACAGCGTCACACACACAGTGACACACACACACAGAGCGTCACACACACAGTGACACACACACACAGTGACACACACACACAGTGACACACACACAGTGACACACACAGAGCGTCACACACACAGCGTCACACACACACAGTGACACACACACAGTGACACACACACAGTGACACACACACAGTGACACACACAGTAACACACACACAGTGACACACACACAGTGACACACACACACAGAGCGTCACACACAGAGCGTCACACACACACAGTGACACACACAGTGACACACACACACAGTGACACACACACACAGTGACACACACACAGTGACACACACAGAAACACACACACAGTGACACACACACAGTGACACACACACACAGAGCGTCACACACAGAGCGTCACACACACACAGTGACACACACAGTAACACACACACACAGTGACACACACACACAGTGACACACACACACAGTGACACACACACACAGTGACACACACACAGTGACACACACAGAGCGTCACACACACAGCGTCACACACACACAGTGACACACACACAGTGACACACACACAGTGACACACACACAGTGACACACACACAGTGACACACACACACAGTAACACACACACAGTGACACACACACAGTGACACACACACAGTAACACACACACAGTGACACACACAGTGACACACACACACAGTGACACACACACACAGTGACACACACACAGTGACACACACAGTAACACACACACAGTGACACACACACAGTGACACACACACACAGAGCGTCACACACAGAGCGTCACACACACACAGTGACACACACAGTGACACACACACACAGTGACACACACACACAGTGACACACACACAGTGACACACACACAGTGACACACACAGAGCGTCACACACACACAGTGACACACACACAGTGACACACACAGAGCGTCACACACACAGTAACACACACACAGTGACACACACACACAGCGTCACACACACAGCGTCACACACACAGTGACAGGAAGAGGAGTCGCCCCGCCGTGGTGAGCACAGCAGCATCACACCGGCTGCCGACATCACACCACGGTGGGACTACACAGAGCGTCACACACACAGTGACACACACACACAGTGACACACACACACAGTGACACACACAGATCGTCGCACCGACTGCCCACATCAGCTCCACGGTAGGTCCTGGTGTCAAGGACATGGGCTCGCATCCGCTGGTCCGTCACTATGTAGTCCAGCAGATGTTCTTGCTTGGACCCGGCATGCATCCACGATGTTGTGTGGATGCGCCGATGCCGGAACAGCGTGTTGGTAATTACAAGCCCATGGGCTGCACAAAAATCTAGCAGCCTCCTACCGTTGTTATTGAGCTGATCTGGCCCATGCCCTCCAATCACTCCAGGCCAGGTGCCAGTATCATGACCAACTCGGGCATTGAAGTCACCCAACATGATGACTCTATCCCGAGGGGCCACTTTAGCCAGCACCTGTGACAGGTCATAGAAGGCATCTGACTCATCGGCTTTGCCTGCATCCCTCCACGGATGTTCACCTTTGGTGGGGGCATAAGCAACCACGGCCACCATTCCTCGCCTCCGGTTGATGGGAAGGCGAGCCCAAATTAGCCTGGGGCTTACAGCTTCCCACACCTCACCGCCACGCTCCCACGCCCCCTTCATTCTTTTGTTCAAAAGAAGAGCCACACCCTGTTGTTTGGCAGTCTCCTGCCCCGAGTAGAGGACTGTCCACCCCTCACGGTGGCAGGAGCCAGAGCCGGTCCACCGGACCTCCTGAATGCCGCATAGATCCAGGCGGTACCGGTCCAGCTCCCGACAGAGGAGTGGCAGCCTCTCCTCCGCAGTGAGCGTTCGAACATTCCACGTGGACACCCGTAGTGGCTTTTCGTTGTTTCTGGAGGAGCCCCGAGGGTGGATATTCAATCTCCTGGCTCCGCCAATTGGGGTTTGGCCAGGAGACGTCATAGACGCCTGGCCCCCCGGGGCCTCCGGCACAAGCTTCGTTTGATATTTTTTTAGGTGGTATCGTGGTAACATTTGTTTGAAGGTGGAGGGATTAACCAGCTCCTCGCACCCATCCAGAGCCCCCGTTTGGCAGCTGTGGTGGCTACAGACGCCATGAAGGGAGAGGCCGATCTGAGTTGGCCCTCCACAGCGTTGCCGTCCAGTACCAACGAGGACAGACAGACAGACACTCACACAGACACACACACTCACACAGACACACTAAGACACACGCACAGCATCACTACACAGACACACACACACACACAGACACACGCACAGACACACACAGACTCACACAGACAGACACACACAGACAGACACACACACAGACACACACAGACACACACACAGACACACACTAAGACACACGCACAGCATCACTACACACACACACACAGAGCGTCACACTGACTGCCGACATCACACACAGACACGCACACATGCACAGACACACACACAGACACACACACACACAGACACACACACAGACACACACACAGACACACACACAGACACACACACACACACACACAGACAAACACAGACACACACAGACACACACAGACAAACACACACACACACAGACAAACACACACACAGACACACACACAGCGTCACACCCGACAGCATCATAGCATCGGTGGTACACGAGTAGCAAGTGCTTCACAGCCTCACCACCATCGCTGCCACCACCATCGCCGCCGCCGCCACCACCACCATCATCGCCACCACCACCACCACCATCATCGCCACCACCATCATCATCGCCACCACCATCATCGCCACCACCATCATCGCCACCGCCATCATCGGCATCATCGCCATCACTACTAGCACCACCGCCACCATCGCCATCGGTCGGGCGATGATGATCCACCTTCTCCGTGACCTGGATGTTCACTCCAAGGCCATCCCTGGAAATGACATCACCAGCACCATCACCAACATCACCACCAGCATCATCACCAACATCATCACCAACATCATCATCATCACCAGCACCATCACCAACATCATCATCATCACCACCACCATCATCATCACCCACATCATCAACATCACCAGCACCATCAACATCACCAGCACCAACATCATCATCAATATCACCACCATCATCACCCACATCATCAACATCACCACTACTCACCTACTACTACAGTAGTATCTGTGGTAGTAGTATCTGTAGTAGTAGTATCTGTAATAGTATCTGTAGTTGTAGTAGTATTAGTATTAATAGTAGACTCTAGTTGAGCTAGTAATCTACTCTTACTAGCCGCTAGTAAACTCACCACTACTCACCTCTCTGTTGTAGTAGTAGTATCTGTAGTAGTATCTGTACTATCTGTAGTTGTAGTTGTATTAGTATTAATAGTAGACTCTAGCTGAGCTAGTAAGCTACTCTTACTAGCCGCTAGTAAGCTCTCCTCCATGAGTGTCACCGCCTCCGTGAGGTCCACACGGAGGCGCTCCACCGCCTCGCGCTCCGGGCACGGGCTGGGGGTGCCCAAGATGGTGGACGCGGTCGAGGTGGAGGAGTTGAACGCGGTGATCGCAGAGAGCTGAGCCCGGAGGGCGGAGAGCGTCGACTCAAGGGCGGCTACAGCAAAATCGTCCATGGCGATCCTGATCACTCTCAGTGCGTGTCAGTGTGTGTGTATGTGTGTCTCAGTGTGTCTGTGTGTCTCAGTGTGTCTGTGTCTCTGTCTCAGTGTCTCAGTGTGTGTGTCAGTGTGTGTGTGTCAGTGTCTCTCAGTGTGTGTGTGTCTCAGTGTGTCTGTGTCTCTGTGTGTCTCAGTGTGTCTGTGTCTCTGTGTGTCTGTCTCAGTGTGTCAGTGTCTCTGTCTCAGTGTGAGTGTCTCAGTGTCTCTGTCTCAGTGTCTCTCTGTCTGTCTCAGTGTCTCTGTCTCAGTGTATCAGTGTCTCATTGTCTCTGTCTCAGTGTCTCTCTCTCTGTCTCAGTGTCTCTTTCTGTCTGTCTGTCTCAGTGTCTGTCTGTCTGTGTCTCTGTTTCAGTGTCTCTCTGTGTGTCTGTCTCAGTGTCTCTGTGTCTCTGTCTCAGTGTCTCTGTGTGTCTCTGTCTCAGTGTCTCTGTATGTCTCAGTGTCTGTCTGTCTCAGTGTCTCTCTCTGTCTCAGTGTCTCTGTCTGTCTGTCTCTGTGTCAGTCTCTCCGTCTGTGTGTCTCAGTGTCTCTCTCTCTCTGTGTGTGTCTGTGTCTCAGTGTCTCTCTCTATCTGTCTGTCTGTGTCTGTGTCTCAGTGTCTCTCTCTATCTGTGTGTGTCTCTCTCTCTCTCTGTGTCTGTGTCTCAGTGTCTCTCTCTATCTGTGTGTCTGTCTGTGTCTCTCTCTTTGTGTGTGTGTCTGTCTGTGTGTCTCTATCTCTCTGTGTGTGTCTGTCTGTGTCTCAGTGTCTCTCTCTTTGTGTGTGTCTGTGTCTCAGTGTCTGTGTCTCAGTGTCTCTCTCTATCTGTGTGTGTCTGTGTGTGTGTCTCTCTATCTCTGTCTGTCTGTGTCTCAGTGTCTCTATCTCTGTGTGTGTGTCTCAGTGTCTCTCTCTCTCTCTGTGTGTCTGTCGTGTCTCTGTCTGTGTGTGTCTAAGTGTCTCTCTCTATCTGTGTGTGTGTCAGTCTCTCTGTGTCTGTCTCAGTGTCTATCTCTGTGTCTTTCGTGTCTGTCTGTCTGTGTCTCAGTGTTTCTCTCTATCTGTGTGTGTCTGTGTCTCAGTGTCTCTCTCTATCTGTGTGTGTCTGTGTGTGTGTCTCTCTATCTCTGTCTGTGTCTCAGTGTCTCTATCTCTCTGTGTGTGTGTCTGTCGTGTCTCTGTCTGTGTGTGTCTCAGTGTCTCTCTGTGTGTGTCAGTCTCTCTGTGTCTGTCTCAGTGTCTCTCTATCTCTGTGTGTGTGTCTTTCGTGTCTCTGTCTGTCTGTGTCTCAGTGTCTCTCTCTATCTGTGTCTGTGTCTCAGTGTCTCTCTATCTCTGTGTGTGTCTGTCGTGTCTCTGTCTGTCTGTGTCTCAGTGTCTCTCTCTATCTCTGTGTGTGTCTGTGTCTCAGTGTCTCTCTATCTCTGTGTGTGTCTGTGTCTCAGTGTCTCTCTATCTGTCTGTGTCTCAGTGTCTCTCTCTATCTCTGTGTGTCTGTCAGTCTCTCTTTCTGTCGGTGTGTCTGGCTCAGTGTCTCTCTCTGTCTCTCTCTGTCTCAGTGTTTCTCTCTGTGTATGTCTGTCTCTGTCTATCTGTGTCTCTCTGTGTGTCTCTGTGTCTCACTGTGTGTTTCTGTCTCACTGTGTCTCACTGTGTCTCACTGTGTCTCACTGCGTGTCTCTGTCTTACTGTGTCTCTGTCTCACTGCGTGTCTCACTGTGTGTGTCTCACTGTCTCACTGTGTGTCTGTGTCTCACTGTGTCTGTCTCACTGTGTCTCTGTCTCACTGTCTCTGTGTCTGTCTCACTGTGTCTCAGTGTCTCACTGTGTCTCTGTGTCTCACTGTGTGTCTCTGTGTGTATCTCAGTGTCTCTGTGTCTCACTGTGTGTCTCTGTGTGTCTCACTGTGTCTCTGTCTCTCACTGTGTCTCTGTCTCACTATGTCTGTGTCTCACTGTCTCATTGTGTGTCTCTGTATCTCTGTCTCACTCTGTCTCACTGTCTCAGTGTCTCTGTCTCACTGTGTCTCACTGTGTGTCTCTGTGTGTCTCTGTCTCACTGTCTCTCTGTCACTGTCTCTCTGTCTCACTGTCTCTCTGTCACTGTCTCTCTGTCTCAGTGTCTCACTGTGTGTCTCTGTGTCTCTGTCTCACTGTCTCTCTGTCACTGTGTCTCTGTCTCACTGTGTCTTTGTCTCTGTCTCTCTGTCTCACTGTGTCTCCGTCTCACTGTGTCTCTGTCTCTCTGTGTCTCTCTCTCTCTGTGTCTCTTTCTCTGTCTCACTGTGTCTCTCTGTCTCTCACTGTGTGTCTCTGTCTCTCTGTCTCTGTGTCTCTGTCTCTGTGTCTCTGTCTCTCTGTCTCTGAGTCTCTCCCCGCGTCTCTCGAGCCAAGCAATGGCGGCAGTCTTCCGCAAATCTGTTTTATTCGCGCTTCCAGAAGATTCTTCCATCTTCCGGAAGATCACCAAGGGCTTACGTCATATTCCGGAAGCGGAAGTTCCAACAGTGCCTGCGCTTCCTCTTCCGGAAGATCACCAAGGTCAGTACTTCTTCCGGAAGATCACCAAGGGTTTTACTTCATCTTCCGGAAGAGGAAGATTCACTAATGCCTGTCTTCCTCTTCCGGAAGATCATCAAGGTCAGTACTTCTTCTTCCGGAAGCTCACCAAGGGCTTTATTTCATCTTCCGGAAGGAGAAGATCCACTAATGCCTGTCTTCCTCTTCCGGAAGATCATCATAGTCAGGACTTCTTCTTCCGGAAGATCACGAAGGGCTTTACTTCATCTTCCGGAAGAGGAAGTACCACCATGGCCGTCCTTCCTCTTCCGGAAGATCATCAAAGTCAGTACAACATCTTCCGGAAGATAACCAAGGGCTTAATGTCATCTTCCGGAAGAGGAAGTACCACCATGGCCGTTCTTCCTCTTCCGGAAGATCTTCAAAGTCAGTACTTCTTCCGGAAGATAACCAAGGGCTTTATGTCATCTTCCGGAAGAGGAAGAACCACTAATGCCTGTCTTCCTCTTCCGGAAGAGAATAAAAGTCGGTACTTCATCTTCCAGAAGTACACGAAGGGATTTATTTCATCTTCCGGAAGAGGAAGATCCACTAATGCCTGTCTTCCTATTCTGGAAGATCATCAAAGTCAGTACAACCTCTTCCGGAAGATAACCAGGGCTTTATTTCATCTTCCGGAAGAGGAACGAATGCCCGTCTTCCTCTTCCGGAAGAACATTAAAGTCAGTACTTCTTCTTCCGGAAGATCACCAAAGGGCTTTATTTCATCTTCCGGAAGAGGAACGAATGCTTGTCTTCCTCTTCCGGAAGATCAACGAGGTTACTTCTTCTTCTTCCGGAAGATCGTCAGGGGCTTTACTTCATCTTCCGGAAGAGGAAGTACCACCAAGGCCAGCAGGTGCCACGAGTTGACTGCTGTGCCAGGCTAGGTGCACCAGGACGTCACGTGACAGACCCAGCAGGTGCCATGGGTTGACTGCTGTGCCAGGCTAGGTGCACCAGGAGGAGCTCACGGGACAGACCCTGCAGGTGAAATTCTCGCTTGCAACGTCCATCAGCCAGCTGAGACCAGGCCACCTTAAGGTTTGAATGGGGTCCTGGGTGTACACCCACCACCGGAGTGGAAGAATGGCAGGCGCATCTTACAGATGACTAGTCGATGGTCAGAGTGGGCAGGATCAGCTCCACGGTAGGTCCCGGTGTCAAGGACATGGGCCTGCATCCGCTGGTCCGTCACTATGTAGTCCGGCAGATGTTCTTGCTTGGACCCGGCGTGCATCCATGATGTTGCGTGGATGCGCCGATGCCGAAACAGCGTGTTGATAATTACAAGCCCATGGGCTGCACAAAAATCTAGCAGCCTCCTACCGTTGTTATTGAGCTGATCTGGCCCATGCCCTCCAATCACCCCAGACCAGGTGCCAGTATCATGACCAACTCGGGCATTGAAGTCACCCAACAAGATGACTCACACACACACTCACAAACACACACACACGGCCATAGTGAACCACACACAGGACGCGTCAATGTTTTTATGAAACATGCATTGCAGTTACAG